ATATTATCCAAAGAAGCATTGCAACAAAAAAATGTAAAGGATGATTGTCAATAAAGATAATATATTAGAAATAAATTTGTCCAATTTCAATAGTAATTATGATGTTGGAATCTTATACAACTTCTAGTAAAAGTCATATTCTTTTTTAAAAATCTTTGCCTTGTTTTGCAATAGATAATTCTTTTATACCTAAAATTTATAAATTCTTCAATTTGCTAGATTCAAAAGCTTTGGCTTGTTTTTTTAAATGAAGACTTCAATCAAAAACGTATTATATCTTTAATAAAGAAAATAAAGTCTATGCATATAAAAAGCATACATGATTGTTTGTTTTTCTTCTTGAGATATTACTCATAAAATTATCCATGTATAAGTAGCAACAAATGGTCTTAATATTTTAATGATATTTAATATTATTAGATTTTTATAATATAGTCATTTTAATCTTAATATAAAAAAATAGTATAATCTTTGTATAAATTGTATTTCTTAAAATCTTAATTTTTCTATAATATAATTAAGATTTTTATTACCTAATTAAAAAATTCATAATTTTAATACAAACAAATATTTATTTGTAAGTACAAGAGCTTTTAGGCATGCTAAAAAAGAAGATTTAAAGAAAAATCATTTTTTAATTTTATACCACATTCATCCCTAATACAAAAATAAATCTACAAGAAGCACACAACTTGATATACATAAAATAAAGAAATAAATAAAAGACTATATTTTAAATCAAGTAAAAATATTTTGAATATAATGTCATGCCTTTTGAATTCACAATTATATTAGCTGATTATTTTTTAGAGTTTTTAAAATGATTTTTTTTGTTTTTTATTTGGATAATATTTTAATTTATTCTAAAAATACAAAATAATATGAAATTTATGTTTATTGTATGTTATAAAAATTTAAAGATGGAAAATTATATGGAAGAATGTAAGATGGAAAAAGATGGAAAAAGATGGAAAAGTGTATATTCTATACAATTCAAGTTGAGTTCTTAAGACATATTATTTCAAATTATGGCCTAATAATGGATCCTAAGAAAATTTAGACTATTATAAATTAAAAGATTTTAAGAATAATAAGAGACATTAAATATTTTAAGGATTTTATTAATTTCTATTATAATATTATTAAGCTTTTTTTTTTCAAGTCATAATTCTACATATACATTTGACTTGCAAAGCCAAACTTAAGTAGAATGTAGAAGCCAAAATAGCATTTCAAGTAATAAAAATAAATTTTATTACATCACTAATCTTATATTGTATTGAATTTTGTAAGACATTTTTATAGAAGCAAATGCATTGGACTTTGCCTTGGATGCATTGTTATTACAGATAGTGGCAAATAATAAGATATTATAAATATTTTTTATTTAAGAAATTTTTAAGCAATGAAAATCAATTATTAGATTTAAAATAAAAAAGTCTTTATAAGTATGGATTCTTTTCAAAAATAGTACTATTATTTAGAAGATGCTTTTAATTTAAGAATTTTTCATATAAATCGTAAAATTTTAAGTATTTGAATATCATCTTATATTTTGAATTATTATTAAACTTATTAAAGTATGTCCTTACTAAGATTTATATTCAACATCACCTATCAACTAAAAAATCAATAAATTTTATCAAAATCTATTTTTAGATATTTTTATTTTACATAAAAAAATATAAATTAAAAAAAAATCTTCTAAAATTAAAAAAATATATTCAAGTAATCAAATTAACATCAATTGTTGATTCAATATTTTTTAATAAAGTTCAATATAGTATGACTTCAAATCTTTTTATGCATGATATTAATAATATTTAATATAAAAAAAGTTATGATAGTTATTTTAATCTAATTTGGCATTGCCTTGAATTATTAATTATTAGAGGTAGAAACCATTATTGATTGGATTCTAATATTTAATATAAAGAAAGTTATGAAGGCCTCAACACTGATCAAATAAAAAATAAAAAATAAATCTTTTTTTCTTGGTATGAAACACTATTGATGATTGAAAAGATCTATCAACTATCTTCACAAAAAACAAAGATCAGAATACGTAGCTAATATAATTGCCACATCTTAAACTTTTTTAACATATAATCATTGTTCTTTATAGAACTTATTTGTAAAGCAAGGATAATATCATGGACATCAATATTGGAATTAATAATTAAAAGAATAAGAAAAATTAGATAGAAGTAAAAGTAAGTAAATTTGATAATATTTTTAGAAAAATTACTTCAAAACTTCATAGATGTAGATTGGACTTAACAAATATTTGTAGATAATTGAAAGGTTGAAAACCTGGCTAACAAGTTGTCCACAGATTATACATGTTGACCATTTGTTTATAAGTAGTCACTTATTATACAAGTTGGTCATATAACTCACATGTAGAATATTTGTCTTAGAAGTTAGATATGTATCTCGCAAGTTGGACACATATTGAATGACCTATTGAATATTGCCATGTAGTTTTGTAATTATATAAAATATTATATGTAGTCTTGTAATTATATAATATCTTAAAAATTAATATATTATAAATATAATCTAATACGATTATATATATATATATATATAATTTGATAAATAGATGTAATTTGAAAAATATATTAAAAAATAAATACATATTAATATATATTATAATATTATATTAATGTAAATAATAAAAAATAATAATTAAAGTAAGATTTTTTTAAAAATAAAGTTATATGTGGTTTATTAAAATTGATCTTTTAAACATCTAAATAGTTTAAATTTAATAAAATTAATTCTTATTTGGATATATATATATATATATATATACATAATAACTGAAATGATAAAAAAAATTACTTAGTATTTTTTGTATGAATTATTTTGTTTTTTTTTATCTATAATATATATTTTTTTATTGACTTTAGATTGTGAATCTATATATAAAAGTATAAGATCCTATTTTAAGAAATATCTCATAAATCTTAATTATATTATGTAATAGCCAAATAGATTTGCATTGACAATCAAATTCCATCTATTATATTTAAATCAATTATCCCAACAACTAGGATTTGTGGATATTTTGTTTGTTAAGTTTTTTAATTAAGAATAAAAAAACACTTTATCTATTATGAAAAATACTATAATAATAAATTCTAAAATAATAGTAGTAGTAAAATATAATATATAGGATTTTCTATATACTAAAAATAATTTTAAAATTTTCTTCTTTTTCATACTTATATTTATATTAAAATTTCTAAATTAATAATAAATAAATATATATATATATATATATATTAAAGATGATATTACATTAAAATTTTAGTATTTTTTGGATATAAAATCTAATGTAGAAAAAAATTACATATTTTAAAAATACTAAAAATATTTATTTTAAAGATTATATTTTCATAATGAATTAAATAACATTAATGAAAATATCAAAAATCTTTGTCTTATAATTCTTTACATGTTAGAAACTTTTATCTATTTTGAGATACATGTTACAATTACTTGAATATAATTGCATTTTTTGTCAAATTTATTTGTAGAAACTTTAAAATGTAAAGTATTTATATAAATACCTATATTAAAAAATAATTTTAGTTAGCTTTATTTTAGATAATAATTTAATACCACTCTAATGTAATTATAGGATGTCTTGATACCTTATAAGTAGTTTTATTATTGATTTATCAAACTATGATGTTTAATAATTAATCGATTAAAAAATTTGTATTTAATTTTTATAAATCATTTAAAATAAAATGTCATAAATATAAATAGTTACGATTTTAAGATTACAAGTACAAATTATATATGACCAATAATATGTTAAGAGAAAATTGACGAATCAAAGTTTTTTGAAACCAGTCCAAGGGGGTCTTTATACTTAGAGGACAAGGTGAGAAACCAGAAATTTTACATTCTTTGATTGACTGAAACATACATGCTTCACATTTTTCGCCAATCAAAAGGATTTAAAAGTTGCACCTCTCACCTTGTCCACTACGTATGAGGACCTTCTAATAATCCATAAAATAGACAAGATGTACTTGGTAACAGTAGGGTTAACCAGCGAAGAAGGTGTTATGAATTTGGAAGCATTGTTTCTTCACTCACGTCGATCAATGCACTGAGTATACCAAGTTTGTGTCAAAAGAAAAACAAACAGTGATCTGCTGAAAAACTGGCTGCTGAGTTGTGTGGCATCACAGACTTGGCACCAGCAGTCTGTAGCAGCACCTCCTTAACATCCCCAACCAGTCCACGCAGGAATACTTGACCTTTCCAGATTAGCAAAACCAAGCAAGACTGCAGCTATTCTCAGAGCCAGCAATGGAGCCACGAGTGTCTCGAGGAGTGTGCCGCAGAGAATGCGATGCACCAAGCAGCTGAATGTTGATCCCAGAAACGCAGCAATTATCTCTCACAACGTTGATGTAGATTCTGCCAAACGTCTTTATATGCCAATGCCTTCCTGCAGGTCCCATTAAGAGTTGTTGACAGTACCCATTTGCTTATTCCCATGCAGGCTCATCTCCACTCGACACCCACCTGAGCGACACCCATCCTCGTGGCAGAAGGTTCCAGAAAATGCTCAAATTAGTCAAACTAGTACTGCCTGCCGACGCCAGACTCAGCTGCAAGGTTTATTTATAGCTTGGATTGCATCGGACTTCGAAGTCTCCCTCTCTCGGGACGTCTGTGGGAGTTGAGTCCGCTGATTAGCGTTTTTTTTGTATGAGAATGAAGCGCATCCTCATTGGTAAGTGCGCTCTTGAAAGGAGTTCGGTCACACATGACCTGGATACTTATTCTCCCGTAAGATTGTTCAACAATGTAATAATTAGCGGGCTTGAGGTGAAGATCGCTTCGTTCCAATGCCAAGTCAAAGCTAACTGTAGACCATCCTGAGGTGTCAAAGTGAAACTTGCAGCCGCATAGCAGATTCTCTCATCTTTCAAAAGGGTAGTGGCAAATAAACAAGCGAACAGTCAGAGGCATAGGACAAATGCGTTTATGTTAATTTTTTTAGAATGTATATTGCGAATACCCATAGCACAGTAGGAATTAGGGAGTTTGAGAAGGCTGTTTTATATTCACACCAAGATAGTAAGCTATCTCTGTATAGGCCCTAAAATAAATCTGAGATCGACATTATAGAGATGCTAATTCGCTGTACAAGGCGCCGGGGAAGACTCCTCCGTTCCTGGAGGAGGCTCAAGTGTTCACGATAAAACTGCTACGCACTGCATAAGTGTGGGTGTCTAGGCTGTGATCGAAATTGACCACCTACACAAAATCCACCAGACCCCTGGAAAATTTACGGCAGCGAAATAGCAGCTGGTTCATGTTGAAAGGCTATCATCCATACGATCGCTTATGGTATTCGGTAGAGAAACTCTATTGCGCATGTGCGCAAACACGCTAGAAATTTGTACAGGACTCTTCAAAATTGTCGTCAATTGCCTCCTGGCTCAGGAAATGTCTGTATGCTGTTGCCATCCATCAAAACTCCACCTTCATGTGACCTACAGGGAGCTGATATGATCCAAGGTGGCCAGCTTGTTGTTGCAGCTGGGCCATGTGCATGACGCTGGGCAGCGAGTCGCCCCATCCCGTAGTCTGCGAGACGAGATTATTGTCGAAAGAGTTCACCATTGTTTGCATCTCGGCAAAGTTACCAATGGGAGTGCTCATGGTGCGGTGAGAACTTCCATCGAAGCCATAGCCCAAATTTGCTTGAAAGTGATCGAAGTTGCAATGCCCATCTAGCATCGACCCTCGCTGCTGCGGAAGCTGTTGCAATCCAAACGCTGCAGAGCTTGTCGAATCTGAGGTACAAAGAATGTTTGACAACTGCGACTGCAGAACCTCCTCACTGCTCAGGAGGCTCTCGAGTGTCAAGTGGTCTGAAGGAGCAGGGTGCACGGCCGCTACCTTCATCGAAAGACTCTGCAACACAAAAAAAATGTGGAAGTTAACATCATAACCTGATATGAATTACAGCAGATCCCTATCACCACCTTCAATTGTGTATAGAACGGCGGAGAATGAGGGATGTACCTCGACTTGACGTTGGAGGGACTGGACGTAATTGATGATTTCATCGAGCATGACTGCTTTGCCAGTGACTTTGCGGCAGCCAGGAACAAGGTCCTGCAAGTACTTCATCCGCTCGCTAATCTTTTCGCGGCGCACCCGCTCAGCCAGGCTATGGCTGTCAGTAGCTTGGCCTCTCCGAGCCCGCACATGGATGTAGTCCTGCTTCGAATACTCCGTGAGCTTCTGGTTGCCCTCCTTCTGAGTAACTTTTGGACTTCCAGCTGACTCGAATGAAGTTTCACTTGAGGATCGCTCACCCTTAGATGTTGGCCTGCCATCCTCTCCTTTACACCGCTTGGGCTTCGAGTTCTCTTCGTCTGCAATCTACATTGGAAAAGTAAAGGAAATAAATACACTACAAAATTTTAAAATTATTATTTTATTTTATTTTTTTAAAAAAAAGGTACCCAAAAATTCAGGCTTAGTACACTCTAACAGGAAATAGACATAACTTTGAAGCACAACCTGTTCACAATGCTTGTATGACAACACAACCAGCCTAGAAACACCTGAGCATGCTCTACAATTTTAATGCAAATACAAAACCACTAGGCAAAACACCAACAATATCCAGGGTGCTGGATTACCTTGGAGTCGGGAGACACAAGGTTTTTGTCAACGCCGGGCAATTTCTTCCGCTTGTTGCGAGAGGCAGTGTCATCATGGTTAGGTGCTGATCTTGCAGGTGACGCAGCGCTGGGGGAGCGCACACCCTGGCAACCTGGTTGCAACTCCGTGCACGAAGAATTGTTGGTGAACTCCTGCAACGCTGCTACTTCGACCTCAACGTGAGGAATTGCGTCCACGGTAGCCTCAGTTACTCCCTCAATGGCTTCCAACTCCGGCTGCACAGATGCAGCGGCAGCTGGCACAGTACATTTCTCCTCCAAAGCGGCGCCCTGCACCAACTTAGCTGGCGATGGCACCATACCGGAAGCTGGTCTTTGAACTATCTGTGGCACGTACTTTTCAGAGTTTACACCAAAGCTTGAAAATTTTGTGGCACGCTCATCAAATGCAGGGTCCGAGTTAAACTGCGCCAATCTGTCAACGTTCGGCGACGCTTCGTGCAGACCAAGACCGCCTTTCGAAGGATCCAAGGTAATGCCCCCGGTGTCCAAAGAGCCCCATGAGTCCAACCGCTGAACGCTCAAATTCTTCCTGGACTTGCTCATCACATCCCTAATCCTGGCATCTTCCATGATGCCGCGGCTGCCACTGAGGCCCCACGACGAAGGTGGCAACGTGGTCGTGAATCTGCCTTGACTTGGATTCAACCAGTCATTGGTTACGGTCGATCGAGGGAACTCTGGTGTGCTGCAGCCAAAATTGGCATCAGCCATGATCGGCATCTCCTGCAGAAACTGCCACGAAGGGTACTGAAGAGAGCTGGCGATGGAAGGTCTGGAGTGAGGAAATGTCCCGCAAGCAGACGGCTCGACGATCTTTTCCAAACCTGAGGAGAATCCCATGGTATCGGCCGAGGGATACAAAACGGGGACCGTTGCACTCCTGTTGATGCGCATACCCATGAACGCTTGATCCGGTGCGGGTGCCATAATTGCCATGACGCACAATTGTTCTCTAAGGTCTCTAAGGAATCAATTTCCAATCGCGTCCGCTTCGAATTACGCTGCCATCCAGATTGCTATCCACTCTACACAAACGTGTGAGACAGGTTTAAGTGAGGAATGGAACAGTGCATCTCGCAGCTCCCAAATCTGCTCGTGCCTAACTAAGGTCGTAATATCGACAAAGATCCACTCAAATTCAGGAATTCCACACAACTCCTCCCCGCGGTAGCCTAAGCTTGCCTGAGCTTCGACTTCCCCGTCAAACTCAAGTATTGGACGTCTAGACCACCCTCTGCGTCGTTCAAAGCAGTACCCTCGACTGTACAAACTGTCCCTTGTTTCACTACAAACACTCCTAGCTCATCTCAGTATTCCAATACTCTGCTGGTTCTCACAACTTCGTGTGGTACCAGTACGTATGGGTATGACCGCACACTAAGAGGGAATGACCGCACACTAAGAGAAGGACCGACCTCTAGATCTTGAGAAGGTTAGAACTCCACAACTGCGACCATTACAACACAGAAAAGAGGGTGGCAGTAAGAGATTAAGGTGGGAGAGGGGGAGAGCACATATTTGAGCACAAAAAGGGGAGAGAGGAGGCAGACTGGTTCAGTAGCTCTGTTGCTGCTGCAACCGATAGGCTCTAGGCTTCAGCTCGTAGGCCGATTGTTATATGGATCAGGCGCCCGTGTTGGCTAGGCTAATCCTGCCAAGCTCATCCGAAGGCTAGCTTCTTACATACAGCGCAATGAGCGCTACAAGGGGATTATTATAATTCCTCCTTCGGTTGTCGATGTAATTTTGAAGCCAATCTGCCTTCATTGCCACCCCATAATTCAAGTCCTTTTTACCTGCCACGCTGCCAAGCTGAGCGGCACCTCAGGCTTGTTCGTGGAGCCAAATTTCTTTCCCTCACGTTGTATCTCTCTTCCTCTTCCTTTTCTAATGCGCTTTACCCTTTTTCCTCAGCTTATCTCGCAACCGAGTAACATTCACTCGTCTCACTCCATAACCACATTTTAATACTCAACAATACGAATCAGCTCATCCAACAAGCAAGTTGCAGTCAAAGATACCTTAAGGGATTTGTCAGAAGAAGAAGAAGAAAAAAGCGTCAGACTGGTGTTGTAGGTGAGACAGTTTACTGAAGGCGTTGGTACCAGCAAGTTACATCGACATCGACTTTGGGTTGGGTCAAGCTTCACCCTGAGGTGAATGTGTTGAAGTTTTTAGACTCGTAGGCACCGAATAATATCTGTTTCGCCCACTGCCCTATGACACCCACTGCAATGCTGCTCTGGTGCCAGAGCATCGGTTTAAGGTACACGGGCTACAAAACACTAGAAACGGGACTGGGGCAGGTTTTTTCTTCTGGTCTCTTTGACGATAACTGCTGGTGCGTGTACGATTTCAAATGGTCCTTAAAGCAGGACGATTTTACAGGAGGTGCCATTGACCCAAAATGAGGGAGGGAGAGAGAAGGTGATGGGGATGGGGAAATAAAAATCACTCTCCTCCTCCTCCTCTGCTCACATTTCTTAGGACTAGCTGGACTCACAGAAAAGGACATGGAAAGCCATTCCTTTTAAAAACCTGTACTCACTGTGAAGTTAGGGGAACCTTTGACTGAGGAAGAATTTCGTATTTTGCTGGTCACTTGGCTGATCCAGAGATGCTGTTACAATGGTCCTTCAAGGTGGCATGCTGCGGTGTATGCACGTTGATGTAAACCAGGACATTCCATCCGTTATCCGGGATATTTTCATCTAGTACAGTAGAGAGGAGAGCGATTGATAAAACCCTTCTCCGGTTTTCTGCGGGTTTATCATATATATATATCTATATATATATACAACGTTTTAATTTTTTTTTTTTTTTATCAATTGGGTCTTTATACTGTCTATAGGCCATTTTTTGTGACGTTTTAATTTTTTTATCCATTGGGGCGCTATACATGGAGCTACATCATCAGTGGGTTAGGATGTCAGAACTCCTTTTGTAAGAACTTCTCATTATGGCGACGTGCAACTCATTCAACGTAAATATCCAACATCCATGTAATTTGACCTAGACCATTCTAATTGGGAGAAAAGGAAAGGAGAAAAGGAATAAAGAAATATAGAGAAAGAAACTAAGAGCGAAAATCTTTCCATGGCCTTTGAGATAATCAAGTGACAAATGTATATGGATGTAGCTAAAAGGCAGCGAAATGAACCCTAGGAGGCCAGCAGAGCACCGCACAAATCTGGTGCCGACTTCATCCATTGTCCTCATCCAATTTAGATGGGGCAACAGAAGGTTCACATCCTCATTCTAAATGGCATGTGTCCAAAGCCTTGACCAGCAAGAATTTCAAATCCGAGAACAGCAATCATTTACAGGCATATAAATAGAACGAATTTCTTGGATTATACACGCATTTAGGAAAGATGTACAGTTGCTCATTAAAACTTTTTCCTCCCCACATGTTCCTTTTGTGAACACACTAATACAGAAGTAAAATAATTAATTTTTAAACATGGGTTATTTGGTATAGTTGTCGGATTATTACTGCCCCCAAAAACAGAATTCTTTCTTGGCTCTGAAACTCTTTCAAACTTGTCAAGTTGGATTCGAAAAGGATTTGTATCCTTAGTGATGAATGATGAAATTTCATCCACTGGCATCCGCTGATGGAGAGATGAGTGGGTGGGTGGAGAAACACGGGCAAGGGCAGTGGGAACGGGCAGGAGGGAATGGCTGCCCGGCGTGGTGCACCATCCACCAATCGGTCACCAAAAGAACGGCCCCGTTGAATGAGAGCTCGGTGGGTTCGACGAACCGGTAAAAAGATCACGGTAAAAAGGTCGGCATTGGGAGGGGTAAATAAGTCGGCATGCTGCGAAAAGGCGAGATCCGGTTTCCAGGCATCATCGAGCGGGGCGTGCCTCCCACTTCTGAGCTGTAGGCAAATCCTTTCTTTCCTTTTTTGGAAGTGGTTTATTCGCTGCTCCCTCTTTATTTTTTCTCTTTTTCAGAGGAGAGGAGCTTTACTGCGCCCTCCCCCCCCCCCCCGACCCTTTCTTTCCTTGGGATCTGGATCACTCTCAGAGACCCATACCGAGTGACGCCGTCTTCCGTCCGCTGCCCCTTCCAGACACTGCCTGGGAGGGGAAAATTGATTGACCAGAATGGGCTTGGGTCCATCATTTCTGTACGAAATCAAGCACGCTCGCTTATTCTTCTATTATAGAGATTTTTCACTCATTGCAACGTGTATTTCACCCTTTATTTATTTTTTACTATTTTGTCTTATTAATACACTTTTTTTGTGTATTCAGTCAAGATACTGGAGAGACCTTTTTTTCCACTTTTGTTTTGTTTGCAATCTGAATTTTACCTGTTTTTAGACTTGGGCTTAAAAAGAACAGAGCACTCTGTGCAAGGATGTGGAGGAAGGGCTTCAATGCATGAAATGGTATGAAACTCATGGCAATGTCAAACATTCTGATTTGCTAACAGATTCAGAGGGTGGAAATTGAAATTAATATGACAATTAAAAAGCATTTGTGCTTAATATTCTTTACGATAAGAAATTGACTTTAGGGGAAGATGTCCCAAAACCACTGTTCCCACCAGGACATGGATTCTTCTGGAAACCATTGTCCAGCTGGATGTTCCCTCTTTGTTCTAGAACTGCAGAGGGTACATTTTGGCAACATGATTTTGATGTGTTCATAAATTTTGAATCAGAGGCAAGCCGTTTTATCATTCATTGTGAAGAGGGAACAGAACTCAGATGAGGTGTGGGAGTCCAGAATGCCAGAATTGATTTCTCATGCTCAGCATGGGAGTAAGAGGGTTTCCTTTAAAAACAGCAACCAAAGAAGACTAAAACTACACACAAAATCTGAGTACCTTGGGTGCACGCTCTATAATAATTCTACCATACTTACAATATCCTTCTCCTCTCAGAAAAGAAAATTTCTTTAAATTGTTTAAAAACATTTTTCACAAAGTACTGTTCAAACAATGCAAAGGAACTACAGCACCTAGCAGAATTTGTAGAGATATTCTACAGTGAATTCAAGTCCACACATGGGCACATCTGGTTTTGGGCACCCTTGCACCAGGTCAGCACCCAGGAGCATTATGGTTTGCAAATTTATATGTTTTGATTTGAATGAAGAGATGTTTTGAAATAGGCTTGTTCCTGCACACCCATTCCATCTTTCTATTAGTTCACTTACAGCCATAATCAGAAGTGTGATCAAATGCCCACTTGTTCCACTACCTCTTCAGGCTCTGCAATTCTATTTCCCAATAGGATGCTTCCTGGGCAACCCTATCACAATATCTTTGCAACTGGATCCATGTCTTCTGTTGATGCCCAAGTTGCTGGGAACATGTGACAAGTTGCTGCTGGCCTGCTAATGCCACATCAAATCATTCCTTGCCAGATCAGCAAATCAACTCCACTATGCATCCAAAATGGCACCTGGTATTCTCAGTTGGGCTGCTTTCGATGTGTAAAGATGGGGATTGTTGGAGTATGTTAGGATGATTTTCTAACTGATTTTCAGACAATCACTGGAGGTGGAGTGGATGTGTGTGCTGTTGCCAACTGGTCAACTAGGGCTGAGCTGGCAGTAGCCCACTACTACCCATCTGCCTCATCAGCTTTGAAATCACTCAAGTTCAAGTTCTCTATGGGGCTGAAAATAATCTATATGGCAATGGGTGCAAGTGTGGGCACCAATTTGATGGTATGGGTGCAAGTGTGGGCAAACAAAAAAAAACAACCTAACACACACACACAAATATATTAATATTTATATTCACATAAATCTCTTTCTGTTTTGAAGCTGGTATTAATGAGCTCTCTTTTCTCCAAATATAAAGGGTGTTGGTGGCAATCAGCCACTATCTCCATTGTTGAAATCTCATCTCCTCAAATGGGCAAAGGGCAACTCACAATATTCAAGAGGCCACCCTAACTGTTATGAACAACCTCCAAGGTATATCCATGTGGTGGACAGGGGAGAGATGAGATATTGTGTGAAGTCTAATCACTAGGCAAAGCCATCTATGCAGCCTTGTTTGGAATACTTGTACATGAAGTATTAAGTGTAAAGTTTCCATAAATAATTTTGAGGTAAGCCTGTGGAATTTGCAACATGTACATACCATCATGGGGTCATATATTTTATGATGGGTGTGTACTATAGAAAGGTGGACTGGATGATGGGGGCAAAGCCACAGAGCCAAGGCAGGCTGACAGAGATGGCAGAGAAAAGAGGCTCTTGCTGGATTGTTTTCTGAAAGCCTGTGGGTCTGATCATTGTGCCAGAGCCTGGCAAGTTAGGGCAACTTATCCCATTCTCTCTGCTGCTGCTGCTGCCAAAGCTTTCTCCATTATCACTCTCATGCCCTATCCACAGTTGCTATTATCATCTTTTCCCTTCTTTAACCTACACTATTTGCCCTCCATATGCATCATCACCATGTGGGTGGGTGCAGCATGTTGAGGCTGTGTAGTGAGAGAGAGTGCAGCAGCAGCAGTAGCAGGGATTAAAAAAAGGGTGCAAGGGGGGGGGGGTCAGTGGCTTTGATGGGTGCCCCAATTGGGCAGAGGCTTGTCTACAGAATGGTTCCCCTGGGGGGGCATTGTTGAGCTTGGCAGGTTGGTCTAGCATAAGAGTAGCAAGCCTTGCCCCTGCATTGGTTGGCTTCCATTAACATTGCTTTCTTCACATGGTGCCTTTTGCAATTATGCATATCAGTGAGGCTCACCATCTGGAAGGCAAAGTGCATGCCTGTCTCTCTCTCTCTCTCTCTCTCTCCCTCTCTCTCTCTCTCTCTCTTTTTTGCTCTTTTCCTTTTTTCTCTTCATAAATTTGAAACCATGCCATTTCCAAGGAATAAAAGTCCCAAGACAAAATCACACACTCACTAAATAAGAGGCTCCAGTACACATATAGCCATTTCTTTAATAAACTCAGAATAGCCTATTCTTTGATAATGGCAATGAGAACAGTAATAATAGTATTAAAATTTATAACCCATTGGCACTTGAGTCTTTAAGAAAGATTGTTCTTCTCATTATTATTACTACTAAATTTGGGAAGAGGGGCTTGTGAAACAATGAAAGAGCTCCAAGGCTATACGAAAAGTCCAGTGTGAAAATGTCGGACCAGAGAGGAGTTGCCACCGCAGCCACGGACATAGGCCCATGTCGCTAAAGAAACACGCGAGGCCAAGAGAGACGGCGACTTGTGGTTCCCATCCTGCAGAATGTGAGCTGAGCTCGTTAAGTTCCACCGAGGGTACCATCGCGACTACAAGACAGGTCAACATTAAGACCTGAGAGAGAGAGAGCAGAGCAGAGCAGAACAGAGCACGAGAAAGCGCAAAAAATCGCGGGGGCAAAAAAACGGGACGTAAGCCGAGATTAACAGCCGGATTGCCCTTGCAGGCGCAGCAGGCCGCTCGTACCATAATAGAGAGCAAGAAAATGTGGCTGCGGTCCATCATTGCAAGGACTCCAATGTCTCGGGCACGCTCACCACAGCTCAGTCGCGAGATCGGTGCGGGTTTCCTACTACACACGGCTCGTAGTAGTAGTGGTTGTTGTTGTTGTTGTTGATAATGTTGTTGTTGTGACCTTTCCTCCTTGGCCTAATTTTTCCAGAAGGCGGTTCCGTTACGATCCCCCACGGCCAGGCTGGCCTGCCACGTCGGATGTTAGCCCCACCTCACAAGGGGTTGGGTTTGGGGGTGTCTGGGCCATGTCAGAAGCATCTTCTGGTCCATCAACTGTACGGCACCCATGGGCTGGAGGCGTACGCCTCCGTGTGAATGGTGTCCTTCCAGGACATAGGTAGCCCATTGGTGTCCACACGTGACGTGTCAGGATCGCGTCCAATCAGGGCCGCGATGCAGATCCTCTGTGTTAGATTCTATTGGCCGCCAAGTGGAGGCCACGAGATCATCGGCGTGGGTGCCGCGGGTCCCGCTGCCACACTCTGTCCTTGGGTGCCATGAAAGCTCGCTGTGGCTCACGGTATTGATTGTCCTGCGTTTTGTCAGATTTGCCTATCCCACGCAGTCAGCCTAATTCATCTCCGACGGGATGATGAATTATTTGGTGCCGACTCGCTTTTTTTTTTTTTTTTTTTTTTTTTTTTTTGATTTTTACTGGGTGTGTGTGTGGAGGGGCAGCGTATCTCCTGATTTGCAGAGTGCCGAAGAGTTCGACCTTTGACATCAGCGCAATCCTCGTGTTCAAGCTCCCATCTCACCATGTACGCATTCTCGACACTGATTTCGAGGCAGCGTTACCGCTCATTCACACAGCTTGCTTTGTCGCTCTCTATCTCTGGCACATCCCTCAATGATGTGTTATTGCATCCTCTCACCTCTTGCATCCCCTCGTACGCCGGCGCCATGGCCCTTCCCGACTACTCTACATGTGAGGACTCATATATTCAATCAAACTACTGCTGATCTTCTACCTCCGGAGCAGCGTATTCCGGTTACTATTTTACACTCATCGATCACGCTGCTGAGCTTTGATACTTATAATCCAGCAGTTTAGCTGGAAGTGTTTCAACTTATCTGGTTAAAACCCATTAGTGCTTGGGTTTAATTTCTGAGCCTTGGGAATCTTTTGCGCAGCCGAATTTTTCTTGCTGACGATCGCGCATTGAATCTAGGGGGTATAGCTCATTGTTTATAGAACAAGGGCTTGCTCCCACCAAACACGAGTGGGATCCTCACGAAGGTGCGACAATTAGACGGAAAGCCGGACTCGACTCAGGCGAGGAGGGAGAAAATCAGTAACCGGATGAAGTTCGTACAAGAGAGAGCTTTTTTCTTGCTGCGTTAAAATTCCCCCATCGAGTTACTTGATGCACGTTTGTGCTGTCGTGAACTAGCAGTGGGAAGAAAGTGAAGAAGAAGGAGCAACCTCCAAAGCAAGGTTTCATTCATGTTCGCGCCAGGAGAGGCCAAGCTACAGACGGCCATAGTCTCGCTGAAAGAGTCAGCCATTCTGCCTACGAAACCCCACAATTTACATGATGTCCGCTTGGGTGGAGGTACATGGTATCGTTCTAATTTCAATCTCTAACATTGCAATCTTCTGCCTCTTCTTCTTATATTCTCCAAGGTGAACTCAATGCTGTGTGCACTTCCTGTTTTCAGGCGAGGAGGGAGAAAATCAGTAACCGGATGAAGTTCTTACAGGCCCTTGTGCCAGGTTGCAGCGAGGTAGCGCAACTTCTCCCCCTCTCGCTCTCTCTTTCTCTTCACGACATGTGCCTTCAATTGTGGGTCTTTCGTTTCTCAGTTCCATAATCACACCGTCAGTGTCTGGAACACTCGAGGTTGGTGATTGGTTTGCATCCGTGGGGTACAATCACAGGTCACCGGAAAGGCAGTCATGTTGGAAGAAATCATCAACTACGTGAAATCGCTGCAGCGTCAAATTGAGGTGAGCGCTCACAATTGACATCTCCCTGCAATTTCGGACGTCTGGTTGAGACGGGACCCAGGGTTTAATTGCTTGAATTGATGATGTCGTGTGGAGTTCCATGACGACCTGGCTCAACGGGTTTGCAGTTCCTGTCGATGAAGCTGGCAGCTGTGGATCCCAGGGTAGACACCAATGTGGAGGGTTTGCTAAAAATGGAGGTATGTGCAGTGCGCTAGGTGAGCTAAATCTTCAGGTAGCCTCAGCCTTCACTGAAAGATTTTTGGATCCTCTCACCAAGGTAAGGCATCATCTTTGATCCATTTGCAGTCCAGCATACCGAATTAGGTCATGATCATTGATCACGTTTGGATTGGGGTTCGTTTCACTCTTATGAAGACATGGCCCCAAATGCAACAAAAGCTGAGGATGGAGGAACGAGCTTTCCATGGAGACGCTGAATGGAGTCTGCCATGAAGACGTCCATACCACACTGGCGATAGGCTATGCTCAAGCCAGACAACGTCTTTTCCAGCCAAGATTTTCACGGTAGCCACTTCAGCTGATTTCTTACATTTCGGTTCATTCATTCGTCTATTTTCACTCGAAGTTTCGAATGACGCTTCTCGCACAATCAACGTAAGCTGAGGGACTAAATTGCGGACAGTGCAGGACCAGGGCTGTTGCCAACATGAAACCTGAAGGCGGAGCACTGGACAGGCAAGAATGCCAGATGTTCGGCGGTTCAGTCACTACATACCATGCAATATCAAGTTGAAGAAGAGATAGCTCTGCTGACATCCGACCCTTCAGAGTTATACAAGTTGAAGTCCAGCAACATCACCTCAGCGAAGGTCCTACTCACAAGTGAGGCAACCATGAAATAGGTTTCTTCCAACCAGCCTTGCTCCCCGCAGCATGAAGTGGTGGGGGAGGTGGGAAAGTATCCAATTCGATCAGGAAAGAGATCGAGACTCAGCTCCTGTAAGATTCTACCCTCCTAGTTCAATCCGTCTGCGTCAACAGGTACTGTATCAAGGTTCTTACTTCTTATGAACCTGCTCATGGAATTCGAGCAGCAGAGGAGAGATTCTTTCTCTCTCGATCGAACTTACGACCTTGTAGTATTTGCTAGAAGATGGAGCTGAACTGGACACCGTTTCAATATCAGTGACCATCGACACCAGATTCCAGTTTGCGGTGTCTACTGAATAGTGAGAGATGGAATGTGAAGGAATTTGTATGGCGATTCTTCCCACGATTTTGTAGTTTTATTTTGATTTTCATCCTTTTTCTGGAGCTTATGACTGTGCCTCAGGAATACTAGCTCAGATTTACAGATTGACACCTCTTTTTATAGAAATGAGGTTGTGGGTTATGAACAGCTGATTGGTTGCAATGGTTGTCACATTGCAAACCACGCGATTGGTGATGGTGGTATGAACAGTGTATTGACAACAGTGCTTCCGAAGTTAGGAAGAAGACAAAATGTAACAATATCGTTATACCTTCAAAAATAACAATATAGTATTATTTTGGATTCATTGTGATACTTTAGTTTATACCTCTAATTTTTTTTTGAAGGTATAACATTATTACATCTTCAACAAGTTGCACTTGTAATCATTCAATTGAAACAAGGGAATGAGATTTTTTAATTTGATTTTGTTTACAACCTTGTACTTATGTTATTAGTTCTTGTTTCCAAATGGTTTGGTAAAAAATCTTAATATTTATAAGTTGATGTATATATGCTTGTATATATATATATATATATATATATATAATATTTTATTTTCAAATCCACCATTTTTTGGTTTATTTTCATAATTCATAAAATTTATTTGTATTGAATTTTAGTAAAGTTATTCTAAAAGAATTATTTAAAAAAATTTCATTATTTTTTTAATATAAATAGTTTTTAATAATAATTTTTACAACAACTTTATATCCACTTGCATATGTATTTATGTATATATATATATATATATATATATATATATATGATTGATAATTATTTTTATAGATTTTTTTAAAAAAAAGACTTTGATATGAGTTGTAAGATTATAAGATATGAGTTGTTAAAGCTTGGAAAAAATTCACCTTGAGGATGTATAAGGTTTTAAAATATTTTTATCATATTTTGAGTGATCTTTGGAACTTAGGGCTTATGTATTGATGTAATTATTCCTATAGGGACAATTTTATATATAAACTTGGTACTTTCTTATTTTGGAACTTAATTGAATAATTATTGACAACAAGAAGTCCAACAATTTCTTAAGGCAAACTTTCTTTATGTCCACATATAAGTTCTTCCACTAAGAGAGATTTAAAGCACTAAATTTTTCAACAAGTCAAGATGAGGAATCAAATCCCAAGATTTGCATTACTAAGTGGGATGGGCGCCTATGATTTATTCTGGGCATTTGCTCAATTTATGGAAGAGAAACAATATGTGCATAGGAAGGATAGAAATACCACCAAAGCTTTACAAATAGTAGTGGATAAGATGAGAAGATTTGATGGGAAGGACATCACTAAGTTCTTAAGGATTTACACATGTAAAATGGATGTGTATCAAGTTTCAAAAATAGAAATGATTACCACCTTTGATTTGGTAGTGATACCAAAAATCAGGGAGAAGATGTAGGAGTTGCATATTGTTGCTATATTATGAAAGAAATTTGAAGAACTCTTGAAAAATAATTTTTATGAAGAAGATTAAAAAAAATAACAAAATAGACTTTTTTGGAGTGGATTGAATAAAGGCCAATGAATTAAATGGCTCCAAATGAACCAATCAGAGAACTTGAGACTAAGTTTGGGCAATTGCCACAGCAAGAGAGGTAGCTTTTGGAAACAAGAAAAATTAGGTTATTCTTATAGGCAATTGATGAATACTTGGATAATAAGTTGTTCTTTTATCTACCAAACAAGACATCTCAGAGTGGTTTTATCAATAATTGGAGGTTAACAAAGGATACAATGGGGCTTTTGGCTAAACAACAAAAGATTAAGACTTGTAATTTAATATCAAGACTAGACCTAGTTTATATATCCCAAAATGTAGTGTCACCTCAAAAAGTGATCAAGACTATTAAGGATGACACTTTTGAAGAATTGATCAAGGACATATAAGATTTAAAACTAGAAATGACTGAATTGAAGAAATCGTAGCTGACAAACTCATTAAAGACAATTGAAGGCTTAAAGGAATTTATAGAGAGATGTATGTGGTATGACAATTCAAACAACAAGTATGGTGAGTGTGATAGTTACAAGGCTATAATCAAGGATGGTATTATATATTCCAAAGAGGGTAGGATAAGGCTAAAATGTTCAAATGCACCTTTGAAGACTAATTTCAGAAAGAATAGTATGAAATAATTGATGGAAGAGCAAACACCAAAGAATAATGTCATACAAAAGAAAAAAAATGAGGCTTATTCTATTACAGTTGAGCAAAAAGTAGTTAAGTCTAATTTTTTATTAACTACAAAAGCCATAATCAAGAGAGCAAAAGCTATCAAAAAAATGACTAGATGGAATTATTTAGCAAAATTTCTTTGTGGAAAACTCTACTACATATCTAGTAATACTTGGTCAATTTTGTATTATAGTTGCTAGAATGTAGACTAGAGCCTTGAATGATGGTTCACATTATGTCAAGATTTGTAGTTGGAATAGAAGAAAATTTGTCCAATTTATTACTGTCAAACCTATCCATAAAAGATACAAAAAATAAATAAAAAGGATACCTTTGGAGCGAAGAAACAATTTTGTAGATTTCTAAAGAGTATCCTTGTAAGATGGAAATACATGGATGCAAATGAATCATCTACAAACTCAAATGTAGATAATATGAATTTTGGATTTTTGAACTTAAATATTAATGGATTTGTGGGTGTTCAAAGGATTAAAGATTTAGATTCTATAAATAAAAGAAGGATGAAGAAATAAGAAAAAAATATTAAAAAAATAGATTTAGTTTCAAATGATGAAGTCATAATTGGAATAATAAAAGAAGTAGGTTTAGAGGATGATTTAATAAAAGTTTTGGAGAATTTAGCTATAAACATGGATATAGATGCTATAGTATAAATATACTCAATAAGGACTTATGATGAATTAGAAAAGATAATAGCAGATGGTAGACTTACTATAAGCTATGGATTAAAAAATAAGGTTAAAATATATGCTAAATATAAAACTATAGCAAGAAAGATAAAACCTAAAGCTACCTAGTTATCAATTGATATTATGGAATATATCAAGTAAATAATTAAAGAATCAAATTTAAGAGAGGCATAAAATTGGACATCAATTTACTCAAGAATCATTAGCTAAATTGAAAATTGGAAGGAGTAATTTCTTGACATCAATGGAAAAAAATATTTTTCAAGAAATGCTTATTGGACATGGTAAGGTATTTGCTTTAATTCTTAATGAGATTAGATGTCTGGATCCTAATATTGCAGTATCTATGGTAATCTTTACAGTGCCACATATTCCATGGGATTTAAAGCCTATTCATATGTCTAGAGCTTTATTTCTAAAATTAATAGAATTATTAAAATATAAAATAAAGATGGATATCTTAGAATCTTCAATTGCTTCTCATTTTAATAGATTGTTTCTAGTACCCAAGAAGTCAAGAGCATTAATGTTCATTTAAGATATGCAATATGCAAATAAAGTGACTATTTGAAACATTAAGTCATGTCTTGTAGTAAATTAAGTAGTTGAACAATTTTCAAGTCATGCTATTTATTCTATTAGAAACTTATATTCTAGATATGACCAATTTCAATTAGCTAAAGATAATAGAGATTTAACTACCATGAAGATTCTTTTAGGTTTAATGAGGATGTGTACCTTACTTCAAGGTGCAACCAACTCAATGGCTTATGTACAAAATGCTATAAATTAAATATTGAAAGAATTTATATCTAAAAAAATTATTCTATTTTTGGATAATATATCTATAAAAAGAGATAGAAAAGAAGTCAAAGATGAGACCATGGAGGTTGAAGGTTGCAAAATATTTATTAAGATACATATTAGAGATGTGGTTGGAGTATAGGAGAGATTAAAGTCAATTAATCTCACATTAGCTTTAGAAAAATCAAGCTTTGGAATTGATGAGATTTTAATGATAGAATACATGTGTGGCAGATATAATAGAAAATCAAATCTTGATAAAATTAATGCTATATCTAGAATGAAGGCTTGTAAAAATATTACAAAAGTTAGAAGGTTTTTAGGGGCATGTATATTCTATCATATTTAGATGCCTCACTTTGCCTATATCTTAGAGCTATTATATAAGTTATTGAGGAAAGATAAGAGATTTATTTGAGAAGAAAAATAAGATATAGCTATAGAAAATCTAAAAAAGATATTGAGTTCACTAGTTGTACTTAGACAAGTGGATTATTAATGTAAAAGGCCAATATTTGTAACAATGGATACAAGTCCCATAGCAATTGGATGGGCTATTAAATAAGATGTAGAAAGGAGAAGATTTATTATAAGATTTAGAGCCAAGGTTCTTACATAGAAATAAAGGACTTATCTACAAGTTAAAAAAGAATTTTAAAAAGCTTTTATTGCTCTAAAAGCTGAAAAAATTATTTGATTGGAATAAATATGGTTTTAAAAATAGATTGTTTTAAATTACTTAGAATGATAATTAACTGTACTATTCTTGATATTGCCATATTAAGATGGATAGCTTACATAAGAATATTAAATCCTATTTTAGTTCATATTACTAATAAAGAGCACTTGGTGGCAAATATATTATCTAGAGCTAGGTATATTTTTGAAGAGGAGATGATGGTACATGAAAGAAATGAAGATCAAGAGAAGAAGAGACATAGAAATTCATTTTCTACTGGTGGAATGGATTTTAGTGATAAGATTCAAAATTTCTATGAAGATTTATATAAATAGAAATTGAAGGATATTAGAATTTATTTGAGCATAATAAAGAAGCAAGAAAAGTGGATAGATAAAATCTTCAAAGATACTAGACAAAAATCCTATGATTATCTACTTTAAGATGATTTTTTTATAGAAGATTCCAAAAAGAAGTAAAAAAATTCTATTAAAAGTAGTAAGAGACCTTAAAAATAAATTTAAAGTCTTAAGAGAATATCAAAATATACTTTGGACAAGACATAGAGGAATTTAGACCACATATACAAAGATTAAAGAAAGGTATTGATTAAAGAGCTTATATAAAGATATAAAAGACTTTGTAAGCTCATGCACAAAGTGTCAACTACAGTCTAAGGTTAGGTATAGAGATGGATTAAATCCTACTTACCACCTTCTATACATTTTTATTAGGTAATTGATTTGGTAGCTATGCCATTAAGAATGTGGAATATGAAATATTTGATTTTGGTAAGAAAAAAATTATCAAATTATGTTGAAGGGAGGATTTGAGAATCAAAAGTATAAAAATAATAGACAGATTTATATTGGAAGACATCTTCAATAGATAAGGTAGTATTATAAGAATGAGAGATAATAAAGGAGA